ACTACTCTCTCTCTCTCCTCCTCCTCCTCTCTCTCTCTCTCTCTCTCTCTCTCTCTCTCTCTCTCTCTCGCTCGCTCTCTCTCTCTCCCTTTGGCCTCCTCTTCCATCATGGCTGTCTGCCACCACCACCACCACCACCTCCTCCTCCACCACCGTTATCGGATCCGCTCCTCCTTCTGCCCCTCCCCTCTGCTTCCATTCCGCAAGCCACTCTCCGCCTCGTTCCCCCTCCCTAAGCCACGGCTCCGCCTTCCGCAGCTGGTCCCGCGCCCCCTCCGCCTCCAGCCAAGGGCCTCCGCGAAGGCGGCGGGGGAGGCTGAAACCTCAGAGCGGCAGCGGCCGGTGGGAGGTAAGCGGACTGACATCAAGAAGATCATGATTCTGGGGGCCGGGCCCATCGTGATCGGGCAGGCGTGCGAGTTCGACTACTCCGGCACGCAAGCGTGCAAGGCTCTGGTGGACGAGGGATATGAGGTGGTGCTCGTCAACTCCAATCCGGCCACTATCATGACCGACCCCGACCTCGCCCACCGCACCTACGTGGGCCCCATGACCCCGGAGCTCGTCGAGCAGATCATCGACGCCGAGCGCCCCGACGCCCTTCTCCCCACCATGGGCGGCCAGACCGCCCTTAACCTCGCAGTAGCCCTCGCGGATTCAGGCGCCCTTGCCCGCCATGGCATCGAGCTCATCGGCGCGAAGCTTAAAGCTATCAAAACCGCGGAGGACCGCGACCTCTTCAAGCGTGCCATGGACCGCATCGGCCTCCGCACTCCACCCTCCGGCATCGGCAACACCTTGGAAGAGTGCCTTGCTATTGCCGATGACATCGGTGGATTCCCCCTCATCATTCGCCCCGCCTTCACCCTTGGTGGCACAGGCGGTGGTATCGCCTACAACCGCGATGAGTTTGAGGCTATCTGTCGCGCCGGGCTCGCTGCCAGTCTTACGACCCAGGTCCTCGTGGAAAAATCACTCCTTGGGTGGAAGGAGTACGAGCTGGAGGTAATGCGTGACCTGGCCGACAATGTGGTGATCATCTGCTCGATTGAGAACATCGATCCCATGGGTGTTCACACGGGGGATTCAATCACGGTGGCGCCAGCGCAAACGCTCACGGATAAGGAGTACCAGAGACTCAGGGACTACTCTGTGGCCATCATCAGGGAAATTGGGGTGGAGTGTGGGGGATCCAACGTGCAATTTGCAGTAAATCCAGTGGACGGAGAGGTGATGGTTATTGAGATGAATCCAAGGGTGTCACGGTCATCTGCCCTTGCTTCAAAGGCAACGGGCTTTCCCATTGCTAAGATGGCTGCTAAGCTGTCTGTAGGTTACACGCTTGATCAGATTCCAAATGATATTACAAAGAAGACACCGGCTAGTTTCGAGCCCTCTATCGATTATGTGGTAACAAAGGTATGGCCTCGTTATTCTTCTACATTACATATCATAGATGTGCTGATTTCTTTAGACCAATTCTGCTGGTCTTAATTTTTTCCACTCTGTGATATAAATTCTTGATTAATGGATCATATTCCTTCCTGCAATGTGTTGCCTGTGTTTCTTTGTGCTCATTTCCTCAAAACAAAGTTTTCAAAGTTCTAAGGGGGACATAAGCAGTAATCCCTTGGAAGATTATGCCAAAAGCTTTATGACAGTCACAATTTATGAGAGAATAATCTAGATTCTGAACATGTATATATTAATTAGGCGCAAACATTTTGGCTGATCTGTGTTCATGGAAATTATGGTGTCTCATGCTAATTAATTTTTACATGTGGATCGTATAAGGTGAAATTCTTATCAACCATTATTTGTATCGGCCATTCCAGTAACAATCTTATGACATGTTAAATCTGTTGGAAATTGCATCTTAAGATACTAATATAAATATAAATTAATAAATAATATTTTTATAACAATTGATATATAATCTCTTGTCATTATGGCTAATGCCATGCATAAAAAGTGAAATTAACTAACTTTTTTCTTTGTTTGTTGTTGCTGTTCATTGCTCAAAATTTTATTTATTTGTTGATTGATATTTATAAATGTCATGTTCATGTTGCATGACTCAAAATGATAATTATCCTCATCTTACTATCCATTTTTATCCTTCAGTTATTATCAACTGTAACACCTCGAGTATAATTTAAGACAGAAAGGCAGGATTCAGGAGCTTATATAGGCTACCTAGGCCACATTTAAGTATTTGAGCAGTCACATGCCTTGAAACCCAAAAAGGTTTAAGGCACCTAAGGGTAGCTCAGCTGCCTAAACACCTATTCGGTTAACTAAATTCAATCTTGCATCATAATTTTAAGGAGGAATACACAAAGCTTGTTTCTCTTTATTTCTTTTTTATTTTAATCACTCAAAAAGGAAACTCTTTAATGACAGTTACAACTCTCTTGGCTAGGATGCAAGTTGGTAAACGGCCAATACCTATGGATTCCATTAAATCTTGTTAACTCTCCTTGTGTGGAATTTACAAGAAAGTTGTTGAACTGCATGATCATTTCTGAGTTATCATCCTGTTGTTGCTTGATTTTGGGAAGTCGTTGGTGATACATGGAATTTTAGTTCTGACTCACTTCATTGACCTTTTCTTAGGGGAAAGAGTTTTTTTTTAATATCAAACTTGTATTTTATATTTCTCAATTCAAGAGCTTAAAAGAAAAGTAATGTCTGAGCTTCAAACACGTGAAATTTTAACATTTCTACTACCTTTCTTCTCTAATTGCTCTTATTTGTTACTAGTGATCTATTCTTTCTGCAAGTCATGATGCATGCCCATGGTATTGCTTCACCTCTCTGCTCTCTTTGTATATCTGATGCAGATTCCACGTTTTGCTTTTGAGAAATTCCCTGGTTCAGAACCAATCTTAACAACCCAGATGAAATCTGTTGGTGAGGCAATGGCACTTGGGAGGACTTTCCAAGAATCCTTCCAGAAGGCAGTTCGATCATTGGAGTCTGGGTACTCTGGCTGGGGTTGTGCACCCATTAAGGAACTCAACTGGGACTGGGATCAGTTAAAGTACAGCATGCGAGTTCCAAATCCAGATCGTATGCATGCCATATATGCAGCAATTAAGAAAGGAATGAAGGTAGAGGAAATTCATGAGCTGAGCTTCATTGACAAGTGGTTCCTTACTCAACTCAAGGAGCTAGTGGATGTGGAACAGTTCCTCCTGTCACAGACACTGGACCAGCTGACAAAGCATGACTTCTATGAAGTTAAAAGGAGGGGCTTTAGTGATAGGCAGATTGCTTATGCAACTTCTTCCTCGGAGAGTGACGTCCGATCAAGGCGCTTGTCACTAGGTGTGACCCCAGCATATAAAAGGGTTGACACCTGTGCTGCAGAGTTCGAGGCAAACACTCCCTACATGTACTCCTCTTATGATTTTGAATGTGAATCAGCTCCCACTCCAAAGAAAAAGGTGTTGATATTGGGGGGTGGACCTAACCGTATTGGCCAGGGTATTGAGTTTGATTACTGCTGCTGTCATGCTTCTTTTGCCCTTAAAGAGGTCCGTTTTGCTTTCATCACAATATTTTTATCCTGTTTTCTGTACCTCTTTATTACTTGGGGATCATGCTATTTATTGTTGTTGTCATTTTGTTTTGCTGAGATTTTGTAAGTTTGTCTCTGGTTCCACTTAAAGTAATTTATCATATTCCAAAGCCGTGTCCCATGCATTTTGTCATATTCTTGTTACATCTCAGGTCCTCTACCCTTCTTCTATCTTCTTTTCATTATTCATCTGTAAGGCTCTGTAAATTTCAGGAAAATTTGATTTTGAATGTCTATTATTGGTATGACGACTGTATTTTCTTACTTGTTGCTACAGTAACTAAATTAATTTTCTTTTGGTATTTTCTTGTTTCTAGAATGGATATGAGACAATCATGATGAACTCAAATCCAGAGACTGTATCCACTGATTACGATACCAGCGATCGACTATACTTTGAACCTTTGACCGTTGAGGATGTTCTGAATGTGATTGACTTAGAGCGGCCAAATGGTATTATTGTACAATTTGGTGGGCAAACTCCTTTAAAGCTTGCTCTCCCCATACAGCAGTATCTTGAAGAACAAAAGTTGGTAGCTTCCACTGGGACAGGGCATGTGCAAATTTGGGGAACATCACCTGATTCCATTGATGCTGCAGAAGATAGAGAACGATTTAATGCAATTCTCGATAATCTCAAGATTGAGCAACCTAAAGGGGGCATAGCAAAGAGTGAATCAGATGCCATATCGATTGCGAGTAAAATTGGTTACCCTGTTGTAGTCAGACCTTCTTATGTCTTGGGTGGACGTGCGATGGAAATTGTTTACAATGATGATAAACTTAGCAAATACCTTGAGAATGCAGTAGAAGTTGATCCTGAGCGCCCTGTGTTGATAGATAAATATCTCACAGATGCCATCGAAATTGATGTGGATGCATTGGCTGACTCAAATGGGAACGTGGTAATTGGTGGTATCATGGAGCACATTGAGCAGGCAGGTGTTCATTCGGGTGACTCAGCCTGTTTGCTTCCTACAAAAACTGTGTCAAATAAGTGCCTGGATACAATTCGCCAGTGGACAATCAAGCTGGCCAAAAAACTTGATGTATGCGGGCTTATGAATTGCCAATATGCAATTACTGCTTCTGGTGATGTATACCTTCTTGAAGCCAATCCACGTGCTTCTCGCACTGTCCCTTTTGTCTCTAAAGCTATTGGACACCCTTTGGCAAAATATGCATCTCTTGTCATGTCTGGGAAAAACTTGCATGAACTTGGATTTACAAAAGAGGTGGTGCCTAGGCATGTGTCAGTCAAGGAGGCCGTACTTCCATTCGAGAAATTCCAAGGATGTGATGTTCTTCTTGGCCCAGAGATGCGTAGCACTGGAGAAGTTATGGGAATTGACTTTGACTTCCATGTGGCTTTTGCCAAGGCACAGATAGCTGCCGGACAGCAGCTTCCAGCTAGTGGTACAGTCTTTCTCAGCCTAAATGACTTGACAAAGCCACACCTTGCTTCAATCGCTCGTGGATTCCTAGAACTTGGTTTCAAAATTGTTGCAACTTCTGGGACGGCTCGTGTGCTTGATTTGGAGGGTATACCGGTGGAGGTTGTTCTTAAGATGCATGAGGGGAGACCTCATGCAGGGGATATGCTAGCAAATCGTGAAATACAAGCTATGGTGATAACAAGTTCTGGTGATGCTCTAGATGCAATTGATGGAAGGCAGCTGAGGAGGATGGCGCTGGCGTACAAGATCCCAATTATAACAACAGTTGCCGGGGCATTAGCTACTGTGGAAGCTATTAAGAGCTTGAAACATAGCTCTATCAAGATGCTAGCATTGCAGGACTACTTTACTGTTTCAGATGAGCATCCAAAGTTGCAGGCGGCATCATCTGCCATTTAGCCATGTTTTTCTTTTATATAGAGGTTTTTCTCTTATCCACTTGCTGTCTTTTGTTGCTCCAATGTAGCAGTCAATGATTTGTATTTAAATTGTCCACATTGCATTCACATTTTTATCTAGTTAATGTTTGTGCCACTGATATGCACAGCATCAATTTGATAACTCATTCATTTTTCTTGCTTATTTTGGGTTCTTTGGTTGAGAAACTCTACGAGCTTTTTTGTCTATTTGTTATTGTTCTATGCTTACATGGAAAATGTACCCAGAGCCAGGATGACTCATTTTCAATTATCATCTTTGGCAGTTTTGTTGAAGGGTTTCGACTCTGCCTTTTAACCATCATTCTTAATAAAGAAGTTTATTTTCTCCCATCCACTTTCCTCGATGAATTTACTTCTAAAATTCTCCAAATCATTTATAAAATGTCAATAGCAAGCCATCTTATCTTGTATATGATTTGCTGTTCTTGGTATTTGAAGTTCTGAAATGTGCATCTTGCTTTAGCAACTGCAGAACATTCTGATTCCCTCATGATGCTTTCTCTGATCATTACTCGTTTTTATTGTGATTAAGAATCAATAAGGAAACCTTTTCTAAACCATAGTGTTATAATTCAGCAATCATAAAATCCATGTAATCTTTTGGCTTTTAACTGCCCTACATCATGTTCTGAACCTGATGTGGATGCCAGCTGACTTTTTACATGGAAAAAAATTCCTCTTTTCATGAATTGGTACACCTAGTAAGATGTACAAAAGTAATCTGAGCGAATGTTACTTCAGGTTCAGTATATTTCTCTGGTGTTTAGAGTAAACGTCTTTATGATACGCTGGTGCTCTTCTACTTTTGTAAGTTTACCATATCACTGTGGAGCTCGAAAATCTTACTCGAAGACCAGGTACTACTTTAGTACCATTAACCTTGTTCCTTTAATATGTCATCAGCTTTGCGTCCTATCCTTATTGCCTTCTTCTACTGCACTTGTAGTTGCTATCAGTCATCGATAATTGAATAACCATGACAACTTTTTTTCAGGGTTGCAGCTGCATTGAATCAACAAACTAGATGTGATGTTGGCAATCTTGTTAGACTGAACTGCCATACTAGTGCTGAAAGAAATGTGCTGGCTGGATTTGTGTATACAACTCATCAAGCTTTTTGTGAGATCTACATGAAGTTGCAAACCCAAAAGCCAAATGTAGGGCGCTTGGAATAACAGCATTTTGCACTGAGGGGTTTCAGTCTAACGTGATAAAAAATGGAAACGAAAAGATTATGTAAACAGAACGGTTATGAAAACTAGAAAGCATTTCTTGTTTAATGAAGATTCTTTAAATTTTCAGATTTTCGAGCTTGTCTCAAATGTGTGTTAACTGCATGCCTTGCTAGTTTGAGGGGCTCCTGAATAATAATTTGTGACATGCTCTGTTCTTCTGCATTGTGTTGACATCATACATTTTGGTTCCACCTTGTCTGTTGATTAGTGTCTGAAGCAATATGTTTCTTCTCTGGAAGGATAGAACTGGTTCACACCTCAGCTAACTACATGTCAATCTCAGGCAATGTTGGTACAAAATCTCCTACATGATCAGCCCCAGCTACTATTACATTTGATGGCACATTCAGTTGCATGACATGGCAGTAGAGTTTTTTTTGATGGAATCTTAGCAAATCCAGTGAAGAGAGAAAGATGTTTATGTAGAACCAACAGGTATCTTGACTTCCTCTACTTCCTGTGGCTATGCTTGTCTGAGATCAAACCTATTTCTAGGCATTTCTATGTTCAATGTTGTCATTCTATCTCTTTTCTTTGTTTTTTTGTCTTCCTATAACTGATGATTGAGTTGTTGCAACATAGAACATCAATATACTAAAACTGTCTGGTTTTAGAGATCAAAATAGTGATCATAATGATCTCAGATTATTCTCCACATCCTAATTCTTTTATTTTTGTCCCTCCATCAGTTCTCTATTAATCTCATGACTTGTAATCAAAATACTCAAAGTGAGTTATCTTAATTTCTTTGATAAAACTGAATTTTGGATCAGAAAATCCAAATCTTTGCAATGTTTTCAACAGTATGAATGATTTTTCTAAAAATATATTTGAGTTTGGATCAAATCTAAATTATCTTTCTTGTTAACTCACAAATTTAATCTTTCCAAATTCCAAACACATCCCCACCCACCAATCATTCACAACTAAAAGATCAAAAAGAAGACTCTTCAGCTTCATCTAAAATGAAAGAATTCTCTCGATTAATTTATCCAACAAAAAATTACATTAGGATATATTGAAGTCATGTGCTTCATCTCAAATGAACAAATTCCACCCTATGCAAAAGAATCAGAGCAGCAAACAACTGCTTCAGCTTCACCAACAAAATAACAAGAGAATTCGCAGGTTTTCTGGATGCAGGTTTCTTCCCCTGCATGCAATCCCAGAGTTCTTATTCCGTGGAGATCTAGTGTTAGCTTCGGCACCGAGGCGTGCCACCAATCAAGCAATCACCTCTTGAGTTTGGGAAGGGTAAGACGGACTGTGGGGGTCGGAATGCCCATGTACTGTAGCCTGGGAGACAGCCTCACCTTGGGGCTCGGCCGCGGCGACGGGATCGGGAGCTTGACGCCGACGGGCGAAGGAGCCACCCTGGGCGAGAGGTTGACCTGCTCCAGCGCCATGGACTGGAGATCCACCGGGTAGTCGCGGACGCACCCGATTCGCGCCCCCGTGCCCGTCGTCCATCTGCACGACAGGCGCCGGCCCAGCTCCAGCCCCAGCGCCACCGTCTTCCTTTCGTCTTTGGCTTCCGCGGCTTTCTCACCCACCATCTCCTCCTCAGCTGCAACTGCTGGCTTACTTCTCTCCTTATCGAGCACGGGGAACTCGTCGTCGTCCACAGAACATTTCTGAGAAGTAAAAAGGCTTTGTGTTGGATGCGTGCGATCTCATCTACATCTACCATCGAAGGGAAGAAACGGAGATTTACCTTGACATCGGTGAGGTCGACATTGTGGTCCTTAAGGAAGCTGATGAACTCCCTAAAATTGTCTTCGGTCGGGAGGTAATGGCCGCTGTATGGCCATATAGCCTGAGGTAATCACCAAGCTCTGTCATGACCTTGACTTTTAGATGAACAGGACAACTGTGATAAGGTAATCGTACCTTGAGAATTCCTTCTTTGGCAACCATCCTTCCAGCTGCTGTCGTAGCTGCCCCGGCGAGAAAGCTCGAGTGCTGGAAAGTGCCTTTGTTCTTCTGCTCATGGAGGCCAAACAACAACAGAGAAGAAACAAAGATGAGTTCATCGAGTTTCCTGCGGAGAAGTGAAGAGTTTGATCGATGGATATGATGTGCACCTGCCCGACGTACAGTGCCCTTGATGTGCTGAGAACGAAGATCCACTTGGATCCTTCGGTGGTGTTCACGGGCTTTGCATTCTGTCTGTACACGAGCTTCCCGTTCTCCACCGTGACTTCATATGCTTCCCTCTCTTTCTGCAAGCAGGTGATGATGATGACGATGCATGATCAGATACAGTATGTATGCACACATCTCTGGTAGCATTGGTGTGATCGAGCATGGAGCTTACCGGACCAAGATAAGTGATGCACTGCCCTTGAAGCTTGTTTCTTGGGCACTTCTCAAGATTCACTTCTCTTCCGTCTCCAACATCCAACCTTCACATTCAACCAGAGGAGGAGGAGGATGAGAAAGACAGAAAAGATGAGCAGAGCAGGTTCCACAACAGATGTACCACATACCAGTAGAAGAATGGCTGGCTGCTCTCACTTCCGAACCAGACATCGTAGTACAAATGCAAATTGTGCCCGTAGCGATGTCGCGGATCGATCTGCACGGATCAACATGGTAAGTTTCTCTACTGCTTCTCTTGTGATGGTAAAGATTAGAGATGATGCTTACAGCTTCCAGCCAATGCTGCAGTGCTAGCTTCTGAGCCTTTTCATCCTTGGAGAGGCCTTTGCCAACCTGAGAGAGATGGAAGCATGCACGCATGAGATTGATTGGATGTACCAAGAACAATTGATGGATTCGTAGCATCAGATGGAAATCCAAATTACCCTGGCTAATCTCTTCTTGGCCCTCGCCCATTTGGAAATTGCTGTCTCCGGCTTCTCGACGTCGAAGAAGGAGACCGAACTGCGCTTGAGAGAAGCAAAATCCAGTGCTTTCCACCTACAGGCGGAGGAAGAACAACAGATGAGATCCGAATGAGGTCAAAGAAAAGGGTGGGAATCATGGAGTAAGAGTCAGAGACGACGTACCAGAGTTCCTCCACCACCACCGCACAATCTGCCAGGTTTCTTCTGGTCCGGTAGCTCTTGTAGACCTTCTGCACCGTGGTCGCGGCAGCGTCGAGCTCGCTCAAAGGCCTGGGCGAAGAGAACTCGAGAAGCTGATGCGGGAGCTTCACATGGGGCGCCGGGAAGTTCGCCGGGATCTTGAGACAAGATGGTTGCAGCGTGACGTCGTCATCGCCTGTCGCTTGGTCGCCGACCGAGGCGGTTGCATCGAGCTTCGTGGGTTCAGGTTCCCAGTTCTTGAAGCTCAATGATCTCTCCATGACCGCGTCATGGGCCACCGCCGCCGCCCCAGCACCGGCCACCATCTTGTTCGACGAATCGCTTCTTCTGAAACTGAGTGATCTCAGGAGCCTATTGGCATCCTTTTCACCGAAGCTAATGGATCTCGCTACGGCAGCTTTTGCTTCTGTCAAACCGAAGACTTTGCTTCTCATGACCCCAACCCAGTTCCATGAGAGCAAGGAGAAGGACAAGCCCATGGGACTTGCTGCAACCAAGTCTCGCCTACAGAGGAATCAACCCTGTCGAGGAATCACTAGCAGACCGCAGGAGGGAGCCAACTACTCTGCAGCAGAAGAAACAGATCCTTCAATCAACTTGTGCTTGTGATGGCCAACCATCCCTCATATATATATATATATATAGATAGAGAGAGAGAGAGAGATGCAAGTGGAGAGAAGGGGGCGACGGATGAGAGAGACCAGTCGTCGCCGGACTTCCATCCACGCGCCCACTGTACCGCGTCCTTCGTGGAAACCAGAAGTGATACAGTATTCTGTGGAATAGTTTTGGAAAGACATGGCTGCCATGACCTTTCCAGCTTCGGCCTTTGAATAGTCAAGCTCGTGCGGATAGAATATTTGAACGAGAGAGAGAGAGAGAGAGAGAGGAGACATTGTTGATTGACTGCTGGAGAGAAGAGAGAGAGAGAGAGAGACATTGTTGATTGACTGCTGCAGCTCAGCCTCCGCAAGTAGGCCTCGTGAGGTAATGGGAGCCGTACGGTCTACCGACAACCAACCCCGTTTCCCAGATACGTTTAATGGATCAAAATATTAGGAAAATTTACAGAAAAAAGGATAGGTTAAAATACTCCTCGTAGAATTGACCCCAAAAATATCTCATCGTTTTAAGTCAATCGTGACTGCTAAATTAGTCAAATAAAAATATCATAACTAATTGAAAACCCAATACAAATTAATTGGTTATATATGTATTCTGTTGATTCTGAAATAGGACCATAAAACCTCATATTAAACTTTAATTCTGGACTGTTGGAACATTTAAGTAATCTTTGAATTAAATTGCAATCCAACGTACACATAAACATTCATAAATGATGTTTATGAAACAGGCATTAATTATGGTGGACGAGCATTAACTGCCCTCTCAGTCAATGATTAAAGCAAAGCCTGTTGCGTGTCACTGTTACCATTACTCGTTAAGATATTTTTCTTTATTATTTCATGTATTTGTGACGCGTACTTACTGATCGATCAACTCAATTATTAAAAATTTTATAATATTGATAGTGATCCTTTATATCGTGGCATAGTGAGCTAGCACGGTTTGGTTTAGTCTCATGTGTGTATCGACGTTCGGTCGGCGAGGATTATAGTCTGGCGAGGTTAGGCTTGGGCTCTGGCTTCAAAGTCGGGGACTCCCTTGAGTTGATCGCTTGCTTCTTGGTCTTCGGTCCATGCATATAGGTCGAGGTCGGGAAGAAGCTCCCGACTTCGACTCCTCTGAAGATATTATTAAAAATGAATGGCAATCCGCCATATGGTCGATCCCACGAGGGGTTTTTATCCTCCCCCTAGGGGACCAGTTGTACCTATCATATTTATTACTGTCGACGCTGTACTCGATCGGCGCCGACCCGATCTTTGCAAGATGATGCTATACTCGGTGGGCGCCATCCCGACCTTTGTGGGACGATGTTGTACTCGACTGGCGCCATGCCGACCCGATCTTTGTTGGTCAGCACGACACTCATTCGGCATCGTCCTAACCTTTGCGGGACAGTACTGTACTTGGTCAGCGCCGCCCAACCTTTACGGAATTGGCGTTGACCGGGGGTACAATCCGACATGTTGTCCTTGATGTTGTTGTGGCTGAGAATAATGGTCGGAGGGTAAGTTCTTAAGATATGCTCTATCAAATATGTAATCATGACAAAATACAATGATAAATATATCAATAAGAATTATTCAAATGGGGAGAAAGGATTCACAACAGATGGTCAAATATTATGTATAAGCTTATGATTTGTCCATCGAATGATGATGTTTTTCTGGTCTTTCAAGGTGGCATATCAGAGTTGTTTTCTACTACCACGCGCAGTCAAACATCGTCTGCTCTCGAAGCCACTTTAAAGGTGTAAAGTGAAGATGCATTAGCTGAAATCACTGACCATTACCGATGAATTCGAGTTGCTCAACTTAGATTTCCCTTTCTTTTTCTTCCGAGAAGTTCAATTCCGATGTTTGAATTCATATAAAAGCTTGAAATATAAAAAAAAACAATAGTTATCATATTTTGAATATTGATAAGTTTTTTCTCCATACCAAAAGGCATCAATGTGTTATGTTTAACTGATAATAATAAGGTGATGTGTCTTAAATGTCATGATAAGATTATCTATATATTATCTTATGCGTATAAGTGTTTCATCGTCAGATGCAGTATTTTGCGAAGCAATAAATAATCAAATGATCGATACTGTCAATCCATGCAATAAATATAATTTGTCTTCATGCATTAACTTGTAGGTTTCCATCAAGTCAACGCTGGAAATTTTGACCAAGACTTTGGACTACGTGCGGTCTCCCAGCAGCGCAATCTTGGATGACAAGTACGTAGGACGCTAATCCCAAACCACTGAACGAGAGAGAGAGAGAGGGTACG